GCCGAATTGGCGTGATGATTATTTTGCAGTATCAATGATTTTTTGAAAATGTTCTAATATTATGCATGAAAAGAACACGACCTCGTCTATGGATTCTCAAAATTTCAGATTTTTCTGCATGTTCGTCTGGGCACAAAAAATCATCAAAGTTGCCTCTTGCAAAACGCCTGTTTCGTTGTGCCTGACCTCCCTGTTTTAAGAAGACGGGGATCAACGCCTGGGCCTGAGGGCCCTTTTGCAATTCACATGCCCTCGTTTCTTTTTGGGGTCCGCTTCTACCCGAGGACCGGTCCAACGCCCCCCACTTCTTTTTGGGGTCCCCTACCACCTGAGGACCGGTCCTTCCTTTTCCAAAAGTCCCAGTTCTACCAGAGCTAGCTGTAGGTAGTCTGCAATTTTGCCAAGGACCGGTCCCCCAAAATGTTTGCCCCCTAATAACCCACTTTGCGTCCTGGTCGCCCGCCGGCGAAATGTGACACCTTGACACAGATGCCGAAGCCCACTATACCGCAGCCGTAGGGCTGCGAATTAGAGCAAAAAGGTATGTTGTCACCCATCTGTACCTACTGCAGTAAATTAACTCCGAAGCAAATCGCAGATTTGGAACACTGCCGCCTTTTCTGCCCGATGGCAAAGCAAATATGGCAGTGGTGGACTTCTGCATGGTTCTACCTTACAGAAGTTACAAGGCAGGACTTCCCATGGGAACCGGCGGTTATATTACTAGGCTAGCTGCCCGACAATGGACGAGTATGGACACCATTCCAGGTGAACCTCTTCTCGCTCACCAGGCTGGGAATATTGACGACAACCTGGCAAGCCAGGTGTTCTCACGAACGGAAAGAGCATCTGCTCGGATACCAGCAAGGCAAATCACACATAATTGACACTATCCGAGCTCCCATCCACAACACTTGGACTCAACTAAAAGACAACCTAGCTCAAACGAAGGACCAGCTTCAGAAAACAGAACAAATAGTTCTCTTCGAGTAGCTATGGCTGAATCCGGAGAAGAAATTGGGGGAACTTGACACATCGCATCGCATGCTGTGGAAGCCCTGTTGTCAGGACGAGCCTTGGTGGCAGTGGAAACCGCTCTCGGTCGCCCATCGCCCGATATCGGGCCACCCCCTGCTGCCCCTTCTCAGCCCCACACAACAGTCCCCTCCATGCCTCCACACAGATGTGCATCACCTTATCCTGTCTCCTCCAATACCTCCAAGACCTCTAAGACCTCCAAGACCTTCAAT